TTTAAAAAATATATTAAAATATACGTATTATACTCTGTAACACTACTAAACTAGAGCCTTATACACCTTTCGCATTGGTGCAACCTCCATGTTAAACACACGTAACATTTCTCAGTGGTTTTTTCTTTTAAAAATATGTTAAAATATACGTATTATACTCTGTAACACTACTAAACTAGAGCCTTATACACCTTTCGCATTGGTGCAACCTCCATGTTAAACACACGTAACATTTCTCAGTGGTTTTTTCTTTTAAAAATATGTTAAAATATACGTATTATACTCTGTAACACTACTAAACTAGAGCCTTATACACCTTTCGCATTGGTGCAACCTCCATGTTAAACACACGTAACATTTCTCAGTGGTTTTTTCTTTTAAAAATATGTTAAAATATACGTATTATACTCTGTAACACTACTAAACTAGAGCCTTATACACCTTTCGCATTGGTGCAACCTCCATGTTAAACACACGTAACATTTCTCAGTGGTTTTTTCTTTTAAAAATATGTTAAAATATACGTATTATACTCTGTAACACTACTAAACTAGAGCCTTATACACCTTTCGCATTGGTGCAACCTCCATGTTAAACACACGTAACATTTCTCAGTGGTTTTTTCTTTTAAAAATATGTTAAAATATACGTATTATACTCTGTAACACTACTAAACTAGAGCCTTATACACCTTTCGCATTGGTGCAACCTCCATCGACCGTTTCAATCGCGATCGACTCAAGAGAGTTCTCGAAACTAGATCCAGTCATACGAGAGATTCCACAATCCCGCGCGCGCGAGAAAATACAAGATGACTGCAGTACACGTGTCGGGCTATCGACAGCGAAATAAAAAAGATATTGTATTTCGAGAGACGATGACATCTGTCTATTATTATAATAATACCTAATGATAAAATAAATTATTTAGAAAAGTTTTTTCTTGAGAAAAAGTTTTTTTAATCAGAAAAAGTCATAGGGAAAGCAGGTTTAACTGCTTTCCCTATGACTTTTTCTGATTAAAAGAAAAGCTAATTTTTATGTTTATAAAATATTTTGAATGAGAAATATTAAAATATGTACAAAATAAACCATTTTGAACACTTTTTTTATTATTTATCAAAAAATATAGTTATGGCATTAACAATGTTAAATTTTAACTGTCTTAATTTTGCGANAAAAAAAGCCAATTTTTATGTTTATAAAATATTTTGAATGAAAAATATTAAAATATGTACAAAATAAACCATTTTGGACTCTTTTTTTATTATTTATCAAAAAAATATAGTTATGGCATTAACAATGTTAAATTTTAACTGACTTAATTTTGCGAACGCATTTTTTTTTATTTATATGAATATCTTAAGGTCAGTTTTTGCGCTAATGTTTCTAATGCACCATTCGAGCG